AAGCCCCGAGTCTGGCATCCTAGTCACCCTCTACTTCCCGCGCGACCTTGCACTAGTGGCTCCGTAATAGCTACAAAGGAAGCCTGATGCTGTGTATCTGAATTGCTACCTCATGTGTATGTCTCTCTAGTCACCTGCCCTATGCTAACTGCTTGACTGCATTACCTGGTTAATCTTTGTAACAAACCTGTGATGAGTTCTACTGGTATGCCCATTTTGTAGATGAAGAAGAGCCTGTTTTCTACCTCACTCTGGTTCATCCTTCAACAAACATCTATTTTTCTTCTTCTTCTTTTTTTAAATAAATCCGAACTACATTAAGGCCTAATTTAGGGTATGCTTTACAGATACAAACCTTATGTGTACAGCTTAGTGACTTTTTCATAAATGTATACCTCTGTATAACTAAAACCTTGATCATGATCTAGAACATTTTCATCATTCTGTAAAGTTTTCTCTTGCCCTCTCCCAAGTCAGTCCCCTCCAGACATAGCTATTGATCTGGTTCCCATAACTATAGATAAGTTTTATGTGTTTAGGACTTAGTGTCAATGGAATGTCTGGCTATGTAAATGCTGCATTCTTTCACTTGGTATCATGCTTTTGAGATCCAACCTATTATGTGTATTAGTGGTCTGTCTTTTTCCCCCAGACCTACTGATATAATTGACGTATAACATTGTGGAAGTTTAAGGTGTGCAATACGATGATTTTATACATTGTACATATTGCAAAATGTTTACTATAATAAGGTTAGTTAACACATTCTTCACCTACATAATTACTATTTTGTTGTTACAGTGAGAACATTAAAGCTCTACTGTCATAGCAACTTTTAAGTATAAACAGATACAACGTTGTTAACTATAGCTACTTAGACCCCCGGAATTTATTCATCTTATAACTGAAAGTTTGCATCTTTAACCAGCATCTCCCCATTTCCCCCAACTCCCAGCCCCATTCTACAATCTGTTTCTATATATTCGACTTTATTTTTTATTTTATTTTATTTTTTTAAGATTCCACAGATAAGCGAGATCATGAAGCATTTGTCTGTCTTTGTATGGCTCATTTCACTTAGCATGATGCCCTCTAGTTCAATCTATGTTGTTGCAAGTGGCAGGATCACTTACTTTTTTATGGCTGAATAATGTCCCACTATATATCACATTCATCCTTTGATGGACACTTAGGTTGTTTCCAAGTCTTGGCTATTGTGAATAATGCTGCAATGAACACGAGAGCGTCTTTTTAAAAATTACTGAATAGTATTCCATTGTATAAATGGACAATAGTTTTTGAAACCTGATCCTTTGAATAAATGACCTGTGAATTTCAGCCACCGTGGTCTTTTGGTTCCCCCAAGAGCCAAGCTCTTTCCAGAGTGGGGTTTTGAGCATACTATTTCCTCTGCCTGGGCTTCCCTTTCCTTCTGCTCTCATTCAGAGTTTCTCTGTATGGGGGCAGGGATGTGCATCCCCCACCCCACCAGTGCCCAGTGCCCAGCACAGTGCCAGGCACAAAGTGACATTCAGTCTGTTGAATGAACATTAAAGTGGCAGCGGGAGGTGGAGGTGGTGGTGGTGGTGGCTCAGGAGGCCATATGGTACTGGGTTGCATTCCTAGAGGGCTCAGAGGCATCATGTTCCATCTCAGAGCTCCACTACCTGAACTTAAAAAAAAAAAACAAAAAAAACAAAAACAAAAAAACACAGCTACATGATTATTTTACTTCCTCATATTTTCCTGCTGTGGAGCTAAGGCTCAGAGATGGAGAATGGCCTGCCCTAGGTCACACAGCCAGGAAGGGACAGGGCTGGAATGTGAACCCAGGTATGCCTGGCTGCAGTGCCTGCCCTGTGATGGTGGCGGTGGGGAGTGGTTGGAAAAGCCTGAGAAAAGGCTCTGGGGGTGGGATAGGGGCTATCCCAGAGCAGAGAGAGGACATGGGATCTGGTGCTCTCAGAAGGCAGGCCTAGTGGAAGTGGCCAAGACAGCTTCCAACTCAAAACATGTACAGTTGGGGCCATATTGGTGGTGGCCATGAGACGTGAGCTTCCCATCCCTGACAGTGTGTGAGCCATGGCAGAACAGCCACTTAGAAGGGAGGCTTTAGAGAGCGTGAGTGCCCTCAAAAGGGGACAGGGGTCTATGTGGCAGGGAGGAATTTTCTCTTGGGTCCCTAACTTCTTTCTAGAGTGGGAGACTGTGAGTCTCTGTGAGTCACCAGGAAGCTGTTCTTAGGCTGGTCCCTTAGCTGTAGAACAGAGCAGTGGAGGAATTTTGTGCTCTGCAAATCCATGTGCAACATGGAGGGATGACTGGGAAGTAGAGGTGGGATTGGAAACTTTCACAGCAAAGAGCCTCCCTCAGCATAAGCTCTCCAGGTGGCCTCTGAAACCATATACTGTGTGTGGAGGGGAGGGTGTTTCCATGTTACAGATGAAGAAGTGGTTGCTCATAGAGGAGTGACTTGCTCAAGGTCATCCAGCTAGTCAGGGTCAAGTGAGGACTTGATTTCAACTTGATCAGTTTCTGAGCATATAGTGGGTACATACACACAGTAGGTTGTCAGCAAAGACAGGAAATGAGAAGTTTTTCTGTTCAATAATTTGAAACACCACACATTTAAGACAGTGGCTGCGAAGGAAGCCTAAGGTGCATCTGAATTGCTATCCCATGTGCATGTCTCTCGATCTGCATTACCTGATTAATCTTTATGACAAACCTCTGAGTTGGGTTTTGCTGTTATGCCCATTCCACAGATGAGGACATTAAGGCTCAGGGACATGAGCTACCTTGCCCAAGCCTACTTGCGGGGAAGTAGTGGGGAAGGGATTAGGACCCTGGTCATCTGAATGCACATCCTGGCCTCCTAGCCCCACTTTCTGTCTAGCCACCCACCACTCTCTGAAGTTGACCTTGAGCCCAGACCTGGATCATCACAGCATGAAACCTCAGTAAGCTTCTCACCTGCTTTGTGGCAAGCAGACAGGTGTCCCTCAATATGGGCAGGGCACCATCTGGCCACACTTGACTCATTCAGATGCTGTCCAAAGGTCTGGGCAGGCCAGGACTCACCCTCTGGGAGGCTGCAACAGTGACTCAGAGCTGTTGGCCTCAGAGGTCAGGGAGGTAGACCTCCTGCTACCAATTAGGCCACCAGCAGTTCCTTCAAATGCTAACAGTCTCTGAAACTTTACTCTGGGTTGGGCACTGTGCTTGGGAATATATATCCTGGCTTCTAGCATCATAGATAACGTTCCACACACACACACACACACACATATACATATATATACACATATATACATATATACACACATATATATGTATATATGTGTGTATATATGTATATATGTATACACACACGCACACACACACGCGCGCGCGTGCGCACACACACACACACACACACACACACATATATATATATATAATGGACAGATGCTGTACTTAATAGAATCTGTTTTCCTTTTGCCTTGCCTGCTGGGAGGCTTGGAATCCAATTCATGGCCTACCTCTGACAGTTACCCAAAGCTCAAAACTTAAGGGCAAATATTTAAATATTGTGGACTCCATTCAGGCCTAGATTAATTTTTCTCACTTGTTTTCCCTTCACCCAGGGTTTTTGTTTTGTTTTGTTTTTTTACTTTTTTAAGCTTAGTATTTTTTTTTCAATTGTTTTTTATTGTGGTAAAACATACGTAACAAAATTTACTATCTTGACCATTTTTAAGGGTACAGGTCAGTGGTATTACGTAGTTTCACATTGTTGTGCAACCATCACCAACATCCATCTCCACAACTCTTTTCATCTTGCAAAACTGAAACTCTGCCATGAAACAATAATACCCCCTTCACTCCTCCCCTCTGCCCCTGGCAACCACCATTTGACTTTCTGTCTCTGTGAGTTTGTCTACTCTAAATACTTCATGTAAGTGGACTCACACAATCTTTTTGTGACTGGCTTATTTCACTTAGTACAGTGTCCTCAAGGTTTATTCACCTTGTAACATGTGTCAGAATTTCCTTTTTGATGGCTGAATAATATTCCACTATATGTATAGACCACATTTTGTTTATCCATTTATCTGTCGATGGACACTTGGGTTGCTTTCACATTTTAGCTGTTGTGAATAATGCTGCTGTGAGCATGGATGTACATGCATGTTCATTTTGATAATCTCTTAAGTTTTGGGAGTAAGAGAACAAATATCTCTGTAAAATTGTCTGGCTTATAGTAACTACCTGATATCTATTTACAGAAAGTGAGTCAGGCAAGGCTCCTGCCTGTGAGGAGAGAGCTACTGGGGATTACGAGAAGACAATGGGCTTGTGCCCTGAGAAAGCTGTGGCTTCAGTGCTCTGTGAGCCCAGACGGGTGGTCACGGGTTCTATGCCATATGCCAGGCCCCATGCCAGGAATGGTATCTCCATGATCTGGTTTTATCCTCACAAGAATCCTGTGAAGTAGGTAATATTATTTTCTCCACGTTAAGAATGCACATGTCACATTCATGCTGCAGGGAGGGGTGGATGAAACCCTCCAGGGCGGTTTCATACCCGCTGAGGGCCTCTACAGAGGGGATAATAGCAACAGTCTCCAGGCTCAAAGCTGCCCTCACTCTTCTGTGAAAACTTCATGTTTGATTGTTACACCATTTTACTAATTCCCTCGTTTGACCTCACCCTCTCTCACCTCCTCTAGAGGTCCCCTGTCTCTGAGGACTCTTGTATCCAGAGCAGCTTAAGGGCCGGGATGTTGCCCTCCTTGCCTCCTGCCTGCCCCAGGGTGAGCCTGGCTCCCAGGCGTCTGATGGGCTCTTTTTCCTGTGGCCTGCCGTCTCCATCCCAGGATCACTGGTATGTCACCATGGTCCTGCCCTCTTGCACCCTCCCCAGCTGTGGTCAGGCCCCCATCACAGGGGTGCGGTTTCTGGCAGGGTTAATGATTGCTCAGGGGAGGAGGAGATGGTGCCAAAGTCTGCAGGCAGAGCACTGCAGGCCCCAGACGGTGCCCACCTGTGCTTGCTGGTGCCCATCTGCTGCCCCTGCGGCCCCTTCCGGGGCACAGGTAGGGACCACACAGCTCTGCTGCAGCAAGGCGTGGGAGAGCCTGCCAGGGGTAGGGACCAAGTGAGATCTTTGGAGCCAAGGCGACTTTTGGGGATCCCACCACAGTCGGCTGGGAGCGTTGAGCTCAGAGAATGAGCACGGGCACTGGGTTGGGCAGCCCCGCAGTGAGTCCCAGCCTTTCTACCAGGCCTCAGTTTCAAATAATACCTCTTCCTGGGGTTCCGATTGCTCCCTTCCTCCCCTCCTAAGGCCATGGGTCATTTGGACTCACTGAACATTCTTCCCAGGATGGAAGGGAGGCAATTCCCCCAGGGAAATGAGTTAACTTGCTTGGGCCCCTTTCACAGGAAGCTCGAGGGGATAGAGTCTCCGTGGCTGAGCTGGAGGCCCAAGAGTTGGAGGATAAAGAGCTGGGCTGGGACTCTGGTTGACTGGGTGGCCTCTGTAACTCTTGTGGGCCTTGATTTCCTCATCTGTAGAATGGGGATGTGACCATGCAGGAAAGAAGCTAGACAGGCCCCTTAAGTAGAGTTGGGCCTGTGGTCATGACCGACTCTGGTGCCACCTCAGCCAGCACTAGAAAGTGTCTGGTTGGGACTAACAGCTGGATGGTCCCCAGCTCTGGCTCATTCCTAGGCCCGGACACATGTCTTCGCTTTCGTGTACCAAGTAGAGGCTTGGCTGGAAGCTGGGCTAGGTCTCAGCCTGCTCCTTGAGTCAGGGACTGCTGGGTTGGGTGCTGGCCACAAAGCAGGGGCTCAGGGATCACCAACTGATGGAAACAGGCTGTGACCAGTGTGAGGACTCTGGTTCTTGTCCTCAGCCCCTGTCTCAGCAGGGAAACTGAGTCCCAGAATGGGTTATAGCTTGCCTGGGGTGGCACAGCAAGTAAGTGAAATGCTGGAATCTAAACCCAGGACCCTTTGACTCCATATCTGTCTTCCTGAAAATCAGCCTGGGTGATAGGCACTGGAGGGGGCCCCCAGCAGGATCCCGGTGGCCTTGGGGTACACATCCTTGTGCCAGGGCACCCTGGCTGGACTGCTGTCTGTCCTGTGTGTGCAGGCACAGCTCCCATGGGGTCAAGTGGAGCTCAGACCAGAGCTCGTCCAGGGACTCCTGGTCTTAGAGCCAGTCTGGGTTTAACCCTCCACCCTTACCCTGGGCATTCCTCTCTGAGCTTCTCTGAGCCTCAGTTTCCTCACCTGGACCCTGGAATGACCATTCGTACAGTGGGGAAACATCTGTGAGAAGTACATGCGAAAGCAGAAGTAAAAGTGTGTAGTGAGCTGGAGGTGGCATGCAGTGGTGGCTGAACCTGCCTGCTGGCGTCCTGAGGGGGAGAGGGGCCATCTCCCTCTCTGACCCTCCTGGGGGCCCCATGCCTCCAAATTCTAGAAAGTCTTAGAGCTATGCGCTATTGAGAGCTGTGATTGACACCTCCTCCAGTGGAGGCTGAGGAGCCAGCCCTTCTTGGGCCAGAGGTGGGTGTGCCCGTCCAAGCTGGAGGGGCTTCCCAGGACCTGCATGTCTCATGGGGTGGGGTCCAGAAGCTGCCCTAATTCACCTCTGCGTCCTTTCTAAACTTTCCCCAAGCACTGTTTGAGA